CCGATCTTGCAGACACAGTGGGGCAGGCACAAGGCGGTGACCCCAGTATACCTGATCACACCGATACTATCCCGGCCTCCTATTCTCAGGCAGCTAGTATGGCTCCTAGCTCTTCCCGGTCCACACCACAGTTAGGAGCTACTGTTGTTCCGTTGGCCAGAGTACAGAAGTTAGAGGCTCAAATGGCCACACTGCTGCATCACATCCAGCCGTGGATGCAAAAGTCGATAGCCGAGTCTGAGGCTAGAATGGAGCGCAGGATGGAGGGGATGATGGACCAAAAGGTCTAGGTTGTTAATAAGCGTCTTGATGCCTTTGAGTTGCGAGTCCTCGAGCGATCAGCCTCGGCCAAAGATCTATCTGCTTTGCAGGCTGACTTAGCCAGCCTCCGGACTGACGTTGATGCCATTCTTGCCGCACATTTAGTTGAGACTCAGGTTGCACCTACTGCACTGTCTAATGATACAGTGCTGGATGCTCTATTTAGTGGGACCGTCGAGGAGGGGCTTGCACCGACACATGCCAAAGGCAAGCGGCACCGTTCTCATCGCACGGAGGAAAAGAAAGCTCACAAGAGACAGCGTCGGCAGGAGAAGGAGGCAAGGAGGGCTTCGATTGCAGACGAAGATTTGCGCCAGCAGAGAGTGCGTGAGAGAGTTGCAGGGGCATCGAGCTCTGCCACAATTGTAGAGGTCCAGCCTATTTTGAGGGACGTTGTGAGCACCACTAATGGTGCGGTGAGAGTGATAGAGAGCACTACTGAGGGTGCTATGATTGTTGATGTGGGCACTACTGAGGGTGCCCCCATTATTGTTCCAGCTGGCTCCGGGAAACCGGACCCCCCTGACTTGTTGATGATTCGTCGGCGCTTTGCGCCACAGGTTTGCTTCACCCAATCCATTTTCTTTTACTGTTTCTGTATGCATTGTGGTCAATATTTTTGTTGGGGGTGGGGTAAATGGATTGTGAGTGATAGGGTGAAGTCTGAATAACCCAACTCATGAATCCTCTCTTGGGGTTTTCTTGTCTGTGTTCTTTTCCCCCCAGAGACTGTTTAATTTTTGTTGAACCGGCATGTCTTAGGATTGTATGTGTAGAAGCATGATAAAGAAAGAAGCATGATGGCTTATGAAAAAAGATACCCGTCAGATTTTGGGATGTATGCTAGAATTTGTAGGCTACGATTAGTTGAATGTGTTGGCTCTAAGTATGACATAATAATGAATCAACTTGATGGCATGACTTAGGCTGAAACTTGAATTGGGTAATATGATAACCTGATGATGGAACTATGTGCCAAAAGTGTGTGAGAATCATTGAGTGTTCAAACAGTTTTTGTGCAAAACTAGAACTTGTCTGGTTAGTCCTGCTAAGACAATTCAATCTAGAGGTTAGGAAGTGATCATAGGCCATTATTCTGAAAAATCCACAAATTGCCTAAAAGAAAGATCCGACCAAATGAAATAAATGCTCCCTTTGATCCAAAAACTTTGAGCCTATAATTAAACCATTTCTTTCCAAACCCCAAACTCACATTCCCATAATCTACGATGTTGGCCCCGGTCCCTCCTTGGACATGTGCACTTCGACTTAGGCCAAAAGCCTAAGTTGAGGGTGGTTAATGTAAAAAGTAACTTCAATCTTGTCCTTGACCCGAAATCGGGTATTGTGCACCTCAACTAATGGAAAATCCATAAGTTGAGGGTGGCTATGAAAGAGGAAACTGAAAGAAAAATGGATATGAAAAGAGTGATGTGAAAAGAAAAAAAAATGAGGCAAGGATGTGACTTGTTGAAAGCTAAAAGAAAAATAAAATAAAAGTAAAAAGAGCTACAAAGTCTAAAGTCACATCCGTGGTTGAAGGAAATTAAGGGAAAGAAGGTAAAGCGATAGTATGACAGAAATAGGGCAAAGAGAGGTTAAAAGCCTAGTGTAATATCAAGAAGGGCAGAAAGTCACTAAGCAGTACCCAAATGTACCACAGCTGACCCTGAGCCTACGTTACAAGCCAATAAAGTCCTATAGTGATCCTAGAGTCTAGTTTAGAGAGTCTAAGCAGTGAAAATAAGGGCAAGCCTATGGCATTGAGCACTAACTGTATTTGAAATTACTTCTTAGCGTGAGTGTTGAATAAATCCTTGTACCATGAATGTCATTCATTCTTGGGAAAAGGGAATTTCGTTTGAAGTAATGGCACTAGTTACATTGTCGGAAAGTTGGTACCTTGGTGATAGTGAGAAGGTGTATGTTGTGTATCAGTTGGTCGATCTGTGTCATGGTGTGATCCACATGAATCAGCTTGTCGAGTCTAAGAGAATGAATGTGCACCGAAAAATGAGGGGTGTAGAGAGCCATGTGATTGCTTGGGCTTGAAATGCGTGTTTTTATACAAGTGTCATATAGAGTCGTAGTGCGTCGCTTGAGGACAAACAACAAATTTAAGTTGAGGGTGTTGATATACCGTGAGTTTACGGTATTTCTAATACAATTCACTTACAAATTGTGTGTGTCTAGGGCCTTTTTGTATTGGTTTTTATGTGTTTTTATCATATTTTGCAGGAAAGATGTTCAGGCGCGAAGTATAGGGACAGCTGAAAGAAATGCAGAAAAAGGGCATTCACGGAGGTGATCTACGGACCGTAGGTCCATCGACGGTCCGTAGGTGATGACCGTAGATCAGCAGGCAAGGCATGGAAGACAAATCAGGGAAATCTGACCAAGTGTGGGACCACGGTGGCCAATGACGGTCCATAGATTGATCTACGGACCGTACTGTTGATCCGTAGATTGATACTGCGAGGGTTCCAGTACCTGAATTTTAAAGAGTCCAAGTGTGGAGCTACGGAGGGGATTGACGGACCGTAGATCGATCTACGGTCCGTAAATTCCCTCCGTAGCTCCACACTTAGAATCTTCAAAAATCAGGTACTGGAACCCTCGCAGTATCAATCTACGGATCAACA